TTCTTCTTACTGGGAGGAGCAGCAGCAAAAGGACACACCCACAATAGAGAAGGAGCTCACAGAGATTACAGGGGAAGGCGGAGGAGATTGGACTGCCTATATGATAGAAAAGTTGATGGCAGACGTGGATGGAACTGGTCAAGTACCTGAAAAAGCTTCTACTTGTACTAGTCATTATCAGCAGCATGAGTCTTCTTCTTCCTGGAGGGAGGAGCAGCAGCAAAAGGACTCACCCGCAACAGAGAAGGATGAGCAGGTTGAAGCCACAGAGATTAGACGGGAAGACGAAGAAGAGTGGACTGCCGATATGATAGAAGAGTTGATAGGAGCACCAATATTCTGAAAGATTTCTATATATTGTGGAAAGTTATATTTATTTATTTTTATTTTTATTAAGTGTGATTTACTCTTATGAGATGATGACCCTGCAGCTACACTTAATGATTTGTTTAGATATGGTAGCTAAGGGTTCGTGTGTTTAGAATAGCTCCTGGAGATATTTGGTGTTTTTGGTCATCCGATTGTTTTACACATTGTTTATATTCAATAAATATATATATATACATTCTTTCTAACAATAATAGAGAAGTTAAGCAATGTAAAAAATCTCTTGTGTCATATATCTTTGTTTAGTCTCCTTTGCTTCGGTTCTCTCTTTTATTATTTCATCAAATTGTTCTGTTTTCTATTTCTTGTTCAATAATCAAAACGAATAGCTTATCGTTAGATGCTACATACACAAGAACTCATGTTTAAGTTTAAAATTATAGTAAGGAAGACGTAACTTTTAATGTTACGCTTAGTTTACAACCTTTCATGAATAAAGTATACCATTTATTAAACGGTAGCATACCATTCTTGATCAGAAGCATTCGCAGTCCCTTGGATATCAAAAAAACGTCTCACCAAAAGATATGAAGAAGGCCACTACATTGAGATTCAATTCGGCATCTGAAATAGAATAAAAATGTTGGTCCAATAAACAAACAAAATTTTGACCAAGCAACCACAGGGTTAATCCTATTCACTTGCTTGGAACAGAAGCTAACAACGTTGCGGAACTGATTGGGTTCACTTGTGGCAGAAGATCAATACCTACTTGATCAGTATGCCGCTATCTTCCCCACGTATAGCACTAAAATTTCATGAAGAACAGAGGAATCAGGAATCCAATAGCTGAAGATATTGTGATACCTACACTTCGTTTACACGTGCGCCAAAAAATTTCACAGGAGTCTATCACGCAATCAAACTAATTGACTTGCACAGGTTGACTTTGGTAGATATGTATTGGCTTCATAAGGCCCAATATGAATTATGAGGATAAGGCCCACTAAGAGACATGTTACAGATAGAGTACTAAATGTTAAAACGTTTTTTTTTTTTTTGGTAAAAGAGAAGGGAAAATGTTAAAACGGTTAAGTTATCGGGTTAAATACTCGAGTAATCAAGTTGGCGCCGCTGCCGGGGATAACTTAACCGAAGTAAAGTATATGCGGGATCGATCACAAGGAGCAATGGTACACTAAAGACTTGCGAGACTCGTTCGTAGCTAAAGCGGAAAGGGTTTTTGATTGGTTTTCAGTTTTGTAAATAAAAATGCAAATAAAAGAGAGATTTAAACTTATGAATTAAAGACATTGGGCTGCAGGGTATTTTCAGAGAATCAATGAATAACAAATAAAAGCAATAAGGAATTCAGACATGAAGAACCGTTCTTGAACATGAACAGAAGTTTAGACTAACTCTCTCTCAAGACATTAATCACTAAATCCAACTATTCAATTACTAAACTCTCATTTGTAATTTCCTAGCCAAATTTGCACTATCAAACAGGTTCATTTGGTTCACAAAGCGTTCTAACATCAACTCTCGCAGGTTAGAAATACAATGCTCAATTTACATTCATTCAGGCATTTTATCGAACATCTCTGAAACACATAAAAGCCTAAGTTCTAAAACAGGGTGATCAATCCTATTCTAGCATTGAGAACATGTAAATTGAAGAACCTAATGATTAAGAATTCCCTAAGACATCTAATCTATCAAATCATTGAATTCTCCTTTCCGAAACCCTAAAACCCAATTTAGAGACTACTCAGACATAACAATCGAAACAAAGCAAATAGATTTTAAAGAAAACATGATTCAATAAATTAGAATAAGAAAAAGGTTTAGAAATCTTCTCCAAATTGTCAAAGAGGATCAATCTCTATCCCAGATGTTGCTTACAAGACTAAACTCAGAAAAACTGCTGTGAAAAACGTCCCATGAAAAAATGGTCTTTTTGGGTTTTAATACCCATTACAGAAGAAAATAGAAGTTAACTCCGGTTAAGGAAACCGAAATTGGAATGGACCGATCGGTCTAACAGATGGACCGATCGGTCTTTAGGCGCCGGATCTTGTCCGGGTGATAGGATCGATCGATCGGAAGTGAGGACCGATCGATCGTTTTGTTCCTGGAATGTCCGTCCGGTCGGATCGATCGGTCTGGGTGATGGACCGATCGGT